ATGGGCTGAGTTGAGACCCTCTGAAACCCACACGTGCAAGCCCTAACCCCCAGCACCTCAGAAGGTGACTGGTTGAATCGGCGTGCTGTGGGTGCTCCCCCAACGTGACCGGTGTCCTACCAAGACGAGGAAATGAGCAGGTAGATGCACACAGAAGGAAGACCACGTGAGGACACAGAGAGGACAGCCACCAGTAAGCCAGGCAGCGAGGCCCCAGAGGAACCCGCCGCGCGGACACCGGGGACCCCGGCAGAGCCGCGAGGAGTCGCCCTGTGGGTAAAGCCCTGGTCTGCGGTCTTGTGGCAGCGTCCCCGTGAGCAGGTCCCGAGGCTGGCCACCAGAGCCGTGGCCATCAAGGGGAGATGCGCAGACTGATGGGCAGGCCAGCTGAGACCGTCTCCAAACAGCGACAAATCACTGCTGCCCAAGTCCAGACGAAGATGGACCGGGGTCTCTTCTTGGCGGGGCTGAGGAGCTGGCGGCCTGAGCCCGGAGAACGAAGGTAAGGAAGACGTACCAGTGCTGGGTCTGAGCAGGTCCCAGACGAGCCCCAGGAGAGCAGCGTCCTCACAGGGGGCCCTCCCCGCAGACCTGGCGTGATGAGAAGGCAGGGTGTCCCCGGGGACGCGTCGCTTCCTGCTGCAGCCACATTTCCTGGGTGGACCCCTGGATTCCGCTGTTTCCTTAATGAGAGAATGAGAAAGCCTCCGGTGGCCTCCAAGGCGAGTGCGGGCCGTCCCACGGCCGAGTGCGGGCAGGCCCGGACTCCTCCGTCGAAGATCAAGGTGCCAGGGGCACCCGCTGCCAAACTACTGCCACTGAGCAGCAACCAGCCCAATTATCCACATAAACTCCGGCTATAAAGCGCCATTAACGTCAGTTTCAGTGTGAAACCTTGGCCCAAAACACACAGTTAAATGGTTGAACATCTTGTTGTCACACGTACTGGGGTGAAGGGAGCTGGCCGGGAAGAGGGGAGGCAAAGTCGGGCCGGAAGGGAGAGAACCGCTTTGGAACGAGAGAGCCTGCGGCGGTTCAGAGCTCAGGTCAGCCAGGGCGCGGTCAGACCCGAGCCAGACCCCCGTGACCTTGGTCTCTTCCCGAGGACGCCCGTGGTCCTGTCCCCGTCGCCAGGAGGCAGGCATCCGCTCTCAGGGTGCAGAGTAAGCTCCAGGGCAGGACTGGGTTCATCCATGGGAGTGTTGTTTTTCTTCTGTTAGCCTTCAAGAATGTGGCCGGGCACGCGTCCTAAGGAAACGTCCTATTGCTGGGGCCCTGTCCTGCGATTCCACGGGAACCGGTGTGATTTTTCTGGGTGACACTTTGGCCTTGTGGGTCAGAGCCTTCCTATTCTGCATGCCCCTTGACAAAGTGACCGGCCGCCAGGAATTCCTGTGGCAACCATCATGCTTGTGTGCAAACTCCTCGTTCTAAGGGTGTTCTGCATAGAATTGTTTACAGTCTTTAAAACCGCGGACATCATTTGAATGTCTACAGCAGGGTATTGCAAACAGTCGGCCCACCCATAAAACAAAAACGACGCAGCGCGTTAAAACGAGGTGGATGTGGAAATTTCACAAATATGTTAGTAAACAGAAAAAAGGTAGCATGCAAAGCAACATGTCTGTGATCCCGCGGAGAGGGAAGGACACTTATTCGTAGAAGTGAGTAGAATGATGTTTGGTAACGGTTAAGTTTTTTCTTGACGGTGGGATTTACTGGGAATGTTTATTTTCCCGGTTTTGGCTTATCTGTGCTTATCAAGTTTCCAACTACAAACGTGTACTTACTCTGTAACAAAAGGGACAATACTAGCTAGGTTTTAAAACATGAGACTTTTACAAATAATTTTATAGTTCAGACTTGACCTCTTCCCACAGCAGGAAGCTTATACATCCCATCAGCAGATTTCTTGAGATTTAAGGGTTTTGTTTTTTTTTCAACTGATGCGCATGCTCAGCTAAGCACCCCAATGAATAATGAGTCTCTAAAGATAGCAAAGGGTCCGCCGTGAACCCAGGGCGTCCACAAAGCGATACACGAATAAACTGGAGGAAAGTTCACAGAATGTATCTTTACTCCTAGATAAACCGTTCATGGCTCTTGGGGCAAATTGAGTTCTAGAAAAGAATAGCTTATTGTTACATTCACAAAGCATTTTACATTTCTAAAAAAAAAAAAAAAACGGACTCAGAGAGACCCTCATATTCAAACACTGTCTTCTGCCCAGATGTGAATTTTATTTCATTATTTCAGGAAGTCCCCTCTGCTTTCTTATTTCAGAGACCTGTCAACTCACAAAAGCTTGGAAAGTACCTTAAAATCAATAGGGGGAAAGACTCCTACCCATCAGCCCAGAGCGTCCCCTGCTGTGGTCTGGGCAATTCTCCTCTCTTTCCCCGCCCCAAGGACAGATTTGGGGCTTTGGTATTTAGTTCTGGTCAGACCGTACCACATCCAAAGATGGCATTTCATTCGGACTGTAAGTTGTCCAAGTCCTGAGGTCTGACATCAGGTGGCCTGAGCTCGGTGACGGTGCGTGGTGCTGGCGTTGGACACCGCCAAGGAGACAGAGCCTGGTACCCTCACTGTCCGCGCCAGGAAGCAGGCTTAACGAGAGGGCCCAGCGCCCGAGGCCACACTCTTGGCCACAGGCGGAAGGTCTTCTAGAGGCTTAACCATAGGCTTTGCATTCAGGCTTGGAGAGAACAGCCGACCTGTGCTGTGCTGACGCACCTCCTAGAATACGAGGAAGGGGCTCCCCGTGTCGCCCGGGAAGGACAGGGCACACACCCCTTGCCCTCCAGGGGCTCAGTCCGGTGGAAGGTGCAGGCACCAGCAACTGTCGGAACACAGCAGGACACACTGTGAGGGTCACAGCCCTCAGCTGCAGGACCAGCTCCCTGGGGCGTCCCTTCTGGTTCTGGGAGCCACTGCCCTGGCCCTGGAGTCCTGCTCCCTCCCTCGAGGCGACTCCCACCTTTGTAAACAGTCTCCGTGAAGCCCTCCTCACAGTGCCTTTTGAGCCAGGGTGGCCTGCTCTTTCCACTACTTCTCCCTCTTCACAGAGACATGCCTGTGCCCAGGCACTTGGTTTTGGAGGACGCTCAGAACACCCCACTACGGCCTCATTGGCTTCCCAACTTGCCCTGTTGACCTTTCATTCACGGGGACCCAGCACATCAGGTCCAGCAAGAATCAACCTTTCGCCCTGGAGTGTTCAGAGCAGTTGGAAGAAAGAGGGGTCTCTGTTCCAAAGCCAGACAGATGGGATGCTTGTACCTCCGGGCGTCCAGGTCAGTCCACCCACTCACTGATTCGGTACAGCCTCGTCGGGTGCCTGCCGTGCCCAGAACCCCAGTGCTCAGGCACTGTGCAAGTGCACTCAGAGCCTTCACGGATGTATTCAGATCGAGTGCGTTTCACTGAGCTGTGTTCCGTGCAGTCGTGCACTTAGGCTGACAGCATGTGTACATGGTACTAGGTATACAGCGTGTGTACACGCTACTAGGTATACGGCGTGTGTACGTGCTACTAGGTATACGGCGTGTGTACGTGCTACTAGGTATACGGCGTGTGTACGTGTTACTGCGTGATCTCCCACGCTCTCTCCTGCACTCAAACTCTTCAAGCTCTCAGCCCCTCCCAGTGTGTTTTATTAAAATTGCTCCCCAACTGGGGCCCTGCCTTTGGCTCCCTTCCTGTCCCGGGGCGGCCTGGACACTGTCCCCAGAGGATGCTCGCATGAGTGCAGCGTCTTTAGCTCAGCACTTGGAGGCCTCCTTCGTCTAGCTCCTCTTTCTCTTCTGGCTCCTTCTCTGGGGCCTGCCTGCCCACACCTGCTACTCGGCTGTGCTCAGCCCCTGGACTCCCCGGTGCTCCTGGCCCACCGGCCCTTGCTTTGCACCTTCCCTCCGGCTGCCTCTGCCCAGCCCAGCTGTTTCTCCCATGCCAAGCCCTTCTCCACCTCTGCAGTCCACAGCAATCTCCTCCGCCTCTGACCCGGACCTCTCGTCTGGCCACTCCCTGTTTCACGGTGCTGGCCTTCGGGTCACGGGCGGGTTTCTCTCCAGCCCATCGCATTTCCGAGAATGCCAGGCAGGCTCGTGTTTCTGACAGCACCAGCCTCATCCTGGGTGCGTGCTCGGTTAATACCATTTACTGAGACATTGCGCAGGGCGCTGGAGACACGTCATCCGGTTACTAACTTACTCATCCATCCACCCGTCAGTGATCAGTGGGTTTCTACAGCGGCCAGGCTGTGGGAATCAGATAACGAACGGGATAGAAATCGTCCCATCTTTATATATTTTTTAATCTTCACTCAAGGACATTTTTCTATTTATCTTCAGATAGAGTGGGAAGGAGGGAAAGAGAGAGAGAAACATTGAGGTGAGAGAGACACATCGACTGGTTGCCTCCCGCACGGCCCCAACCAGGGCCGGGGACGAACCGCAACCGAGGTACCTGCCCTTGGCTGGAATCAAACCCGCGACTCATTGGTCCGCAGGCCGACGCTCTAACCACTGAGCCAAACTGGCCAGGGCGAAATCATCCCGTCTTCATGGAGCTTACGTTCATGGAGGGGACACAGATTCTCAACATAAACAAGTGGAATGTTTCAGAGAGTGGTGAGGGCCATAAAAGAAATAAGAACCGTCAGTCAACGTTGTGCGAGTTTCCCCAGCCCTGTGCAGAGCCAGTGACGTAACTCGGGTGCGAGGTGGAGACACAGGCCCCTTGTTCAAACCGTGCAGGAATTCCGAGCTGGCGACAGCGGGGCGTTGAGCCCAGCGCCGGCCCTCCGGCGCCGCCCCTGCAGCTGGCCGCCTCTGCGGTCCTCAGCCCACGTCGGGGGCTTTCTGGAGGCAGGAAGTCAGCAGAGAAGCTGTCCGTGAGCCCCGAGTGCGGCTCAGGGTGCCCGTGCCCAGGAGCCGGCAGAGGCGGCGCGGCGGCGGGGGATGCGGCGTAACGTCCCGTTGCTGTCTCCTGCCTTGCAGACTGCCTGTCTTACTCGGCTCTGCACGTCCTGTCCCGGAGGTGCTACGGGAGGCAGCGATGCAGGGTCCTGGTCAGCAGCCAGCAGTTTGGGAGCCCCTGTCTGCCAGGCGTGAAGAAGTACCTCACCGTCACCTACGCCTGCGGTAAGACGATGCCCTCAACCCGGGCGGCCTGCTCGGAGGTGGTGGCCTCCCGAGCGGGCTGTCACACCGGCGTCCAGGAGCCCTTTTCTGTCTTCCGTTGTCAGTTATGAAGTTCGTGTCAGATAAGCAGCTGAATTTTCTTCGGTCCAAATTGGTTTAAAGCTCTTCCGGATGGCCAGGCGGGAAGGTGGGGAAGGAGCAAACGGTAAACTTGATGTCCGCGGCAACAGCGATTTTATCTTCTTTTTTTTTTAAATCCTCACCCGAGGATTCTTTTCTTTTCTTTTTTTTTTTTTGTTTTAATCCTCACCCGAGGACATTTTTCCATTTTTTGTTCAGGTAGAGTGGGAGGGAGAGAGAGGAACATCGACGTGAAGGGACACATCGAGTGGCTGCCACCCGCACAACCGACCAGGGCCGGGGACAAACTGCAACCGAGGTACATGCCCTTAGCGGGAACCGAACCCGGGTCTCTCAGGACTGCATGCCAACGCTCTAACCGCTGAGCCAAACCGGCCAGGGCAGGATTCTTTTCTTTTTATATTCATCTTCAGACAGAGCAGGGGGGAGGGAGAGAGAGAGAAACAGCCACGTGAGAGAGACACATCGACTGGCTGCTTCCCGCATGACCCGACTGGGGCCAGGGTCAACCTGCAACTGGAGCTCATGCTCTTGACAGGAATCGAACCCGCGACTCTTTTCTCCGCAGGCTGACACTCCAACTGCTGAGCCAAATCGGCCAGGCTTATTGATTTCCTTTAGAGAGAGAGGAAGGGAGAGAGAGATAGAAACCTCGATGTGAGAGAGAAACATCGATGGGCCGCCTCCTGCACGCCCCCTACTGGGGATGGAGCCCACAACCCGGGCATGTGCTCTGCCTGGGAATCGAACCGGGACCTCTCAGTCTATGGGACGACGCTCAGTCCACCAAGCCACACCGGCTGGGCAGGAAGAGTGATTTGAATCTGGGTTCTTCGGAGGCTGCACAGTTCGGGGGTGCCCTGCGAGGTCACGGGCAGACTGTCCGTCTGGGAACCCTGGTGCCGAGCCCCGCGCCGCCCGCAGCCCACAGCCTGAGCGGCAGGTGCAGCCGGACCCCAGGCCCAGGGCTGGCACATGGCATTGCCCCGTGTCTCAGATGAAGGGCAGCGCCTGCTCCGTGAGGTCCAGTTTCGTGAAACGGTTTGCAAGGCAAGGCAGCGAGGGATCCTCGGGGTCAGGTGCGTTTTAGTCTGAAGCCCTGACCACGGCCAGCCTGGTCTGTCCCAGCTCACTGTTGTCGGCGGCAATAGCAGAGCTGTCATCGGCACCGTGAACGGCTACGTCGCCCGATTCCCACAGGACGGCGAGCCCGTGTCCCCAAGCGCGAGATGGCGGAGGATGGACCCTGAGCTAGAGAGGGAGGGACGGCAGGCGGGAGGCGCTGCGAGGTGGGGTCTGTGGGGGGTCTGGCCGGGGTCGGAGAGCAGCAGAGGGGGGCACCGAGCGAGTCCCTGAGGCAGGAGGCTGGTGGGGGGTAGTGGGTTCAGATGTGGGCCTGTGGAGGAAATGGGGCAGTGACAGCATCCTCCCATCTCCCTGGACAGTGCTCCTTGTCCATCAGTGTGGTCCCCCCAGAGTTATCTCACAGCGACGGGGTGGCTCTCACTGCGAGGCAAGTTTCTGTACAGACGGACACACGCACCCTGCAGATGCCCACGGAGGGCTCCTAACCACCTTCTGAGTGGCCGGCCCTTAAAATTACTGCCCTGCCAGCGGCTGTCCCTGAGACCAGAGTCACCGAAAGCGGTTTGCAGTCCGCACACTTTCTGGTGGCTCTGTGGCCGAGGAATGCTTTCCTGAAAGGTTCCCGGCGACGTGGGGGCCGACGGGTGTTCCGGAGGAGGTCGGTGATTGCTCATCAAGCCAAGCTGTCTTAGCTGGGGCTCCGGACGCCAGGGATGGAACCAGTCTGCGCTGGTTTGAGCCGAAAGTGGTTGGGGTGGGGGCAGCCTATGTCAAGAGGCATCTTGGGAAGCCCCGGGAAGGCAGGGTGGGGCTGACCAGGACGCTGGGCCAGGGTCTGCCGTCCCAGCACCTCCCTCCCTCCCGCCTCTGCAGACGGCCTTCCTCGGAGCCTGGGCTGCAGGCACACAAACACCCCACAGCCCCACCACCACGGGTGACTTTCGTTATGGTTCCAGCAGGGTGCGGACTTGCAGTCTGGCAATCTTTTTATTTTTATCCTCATCCGAGAATATTTTTTCATTTATCTTCAGATAGAGTGAGAGGGAGGGAGAGAGAGAGAGAAACATCGATGTGAGAGAGACACATTGATTGGTTGCCTCCTGCACAACCCTGACCAGGGCCGGTGATCGAACCTGCAACCGAGGTACGTCCCCTGACCAGAATCAAACCCGAGACTCTCCAGTCCTTGGGGCAACGCTCTAACCACTGAGCCAAACCGGCCAGGGCGCTGTCTGGCATCTTAATCCCAAATTTCGAACAGAAAGATATTTCATTGACCGGGCTGGGGTCAGGTAACCCCTCCTTTGGTCAGCCCTGGCCAGAGACCATGTAATGTGATTATAAACCTGACCTCCAGAGAGGGCCCAGCTACCCACCCCCAAGCTAAGGTGCTCTTACATCAGAGGGTCAGAGAAGCTGGACCCCAGTAGGTGTCTGTTCCTACACCTGCACCCCCGCAGCACCCAGCCAGGCAGTTTTGTGGCGCTAACCCAGGGGACCCCCGACCCGCGAGTGGAGGGGAGGGTGCGTCAGAGACAAGTGACGAGCGTCAAGCAGGCCTTGCTGCGGGGCCCTCGTTTCTACAGAAACACAAGGGCCTGTCTCCCAAGTGGCCAGGCCAGGCTGAGCTGGGCAGGGCTGCCCCACCATGGCCCGACCTTGCGGCACAGCCCGCCAGGGTATTCTGGAGCCAGAGACCATGGACCCAGGCCTGCGGGCCAGAAATGGACTAGGAAGTACTACCGCCCATGTCCACGTGTATGGAGCGCCAGCCCCGTGCCAGGCCAGAGCTGGGGAATGTTTATGACCATTATGACCCTGTTCTTAGCCTGTAGGACAGAATGTAGTGAATCCTGGGCTCTGGGGACACAGGGGCCTGGAGGGCTTCCCAGGGGAGGTGGTGTCCAAGGCAAGGGAGGTGACGGGTGTGTAGGAATCAGCCCAGTGACAGCAGGGGCGGGGGCAGGCGGCAGGCCCAGCACACCAAAGGCTGGGAGGTGCGGCCCGGGCAGGACTGGACGGCCTGGGGGGGGGACTGGACGGCCTGGAGGGGGGGCTAAGGCTTGGCTGCTCAGGGCAGTAGGGAGACACTGAAGAATTTTCTCAGGGGACATAACCGTTTGCATTTTAAAGGAGCACGCCTCCCTATTTTATAGGGTGTCACATCACCCTGGCTCTCCTCCCTCAGGCTCCGGGCTGGCTCCGGGCTGGCTCGCTGGAAAAGTCTGGTCATCGTGCACCCTCAGGGCAAGGAGTCAGGCTCCGGGCCTTTTGCTTTGCTAACCTTCGGCTGCTCTGGCCGATGTCAAACCGCTCAGGGCACCTGGTCGTGATTGGGCTGGGAGGTGCGTCTCCCGAGCGCCTCAGTGCCTGGCTAACCAGGTCCTCTCCACCGGCCCCCAAGTCTGACCTCTGGCCGTGCTTCTAGGACATGCTGGATTCTAGATCTTCCTCCTAGCAGCACAGGAGGCCTGGGGAGCCCGGCCAGCTCCCCCCGCACCTCTGCAGGATGGCGTCCCTCCGCACCCACAGCCGCTGGTCCCCCAGAGTCACCACACAGACTCACTGGCACCCGCCCGATGACTCCTGCAGGCACAGAGGACAGTGGTGGGCTAGTGTTCCCACAAATGTATCGACAGAGGAGAGTGCGGGTAACACCTCCCCCCCAGTCCCCGTCTTCATCCTCCGAACAAGGAGACGCGAGAATCGGACAGGCAGTGGACACCTGTTGTCCTCTGAGAGGCCCTGCGAGATTCTTCCAAACTGTAACCGAGGAAGGAAATTTAGACCGATTCTCCGGCAGTCGGAGCCACGTCCCCGGTGATCGGGCCATTTCCCGACCGAGCCTCGTCCAACTCAGGCGGCGTGGGGTCCGAGCACCCGGCTGCCTTGAAGGCTCGTCCCCCAGCTCCGAGCTGCCCTGTTTCCTAAACGTGCGGCTTCGGCGACAGCCGGGCCGCCCCTGGTCGCACGGTGAGGACAAGCCCAGCGACCAACACGAGAAAGAGGGCCCCGGGCGGGGAGGACAGAGTCCTAGAAGAGCTGGGGCGTCCTTCTCAGGGCACAGAGGCTACTTCATCGGAAAGTGTGTGGTGGCGGCTCAGAGGTCTGCGGGGTACACCTCAGTGACCTTTCTGGGTATTTGAGGGCCCCACGCGTGTGAATGAGTGTGCCTGACAAGCAATGGTTACTGTTCTCACTTGCAAATTTATTTATTTTTTCTTCAATTTTTATTAATTTATTTTTGTTACAGATGTTTCTCCTCCCCCCCCACACTCTTCTCCCCATTCCTGCCCCCCCCCCAACATTGTTGTCTATGTCCGTTGGTTACACAGACATGCATATAAGTTCTTTGGTTCATCTCATCAACCCCTCGCCCCCCTCCTCTGAGGTTTGTCAGTCTGAACCGTACTCCTTTCTATGTCTCTGGGTCTATGTATTTCGTTCATCAGCCCACCTTGTTCATTATATTCCACAAATAAGTGAGATCATGTGGTATTTGTCTTTCTCTGTTTGACTTATTTCACTTAGCACAATGCTCTCCAGGTCCCTCCATGTCGTCTCAAAGGATAAGAGATCTTTCTTTCTTACAGCTGCATAGTACTCCATTGTGTACATGTACCACAGCTTTTTTATCCATTCGTCTACTGATGGACACTTGGGCTGTTTCCAGATCTTGGCGATTGTAAATAGTGCTGCTACGAACATGGGGGCACATATATTCTTTCTAATGGGTGTTACAGGCTTCATGGGTTGTATTCCTAGAAGTGGGATCACTGGGTCAAATGGCACTTCAATTTTTAATTTTTTGAGGAAATACCATACTGTTTTCCATAGTGGCTGCACCAGTCTGCATTCCCACCAGCAGTGCACTAGAGCCCCCTTCTCTCCACACCCTCGCCAGCACTTGTTGTTTGATGCTTTGTTGATGGCAAATTGATGTTTTAAATCTCATCTACATTGCGTGTGAAGTATGCAGGACGTGTACAAAGTCTTTGCAATGTTTCTTTTTGGTCTTCAGTTCCCAAGAACATCCTCACAGCGATCGATCCAGCCGTGGCCGACGCGAGCCCTGCCCCGGAGCAGAGAGATGGTGGCTATGGTAATTTGCACGCGCACTGCCCGTGTTTCAATAAGGAGACCAGCGTGTGGCCGAAGTCGGGCGTGCTCGGGTTCGAACCAGAGGGTGTCGGAGGAGCCGTGGGGAATGGCCGCGAATGGGGGCCAGCATTTCATTTTGTGTTTTCAGCTGTATGTGGAATGAGCCCTCCCTCCATCCCACTCTTACTCCTAAAAGAAAAATCAGGAAAAGACACCTGACAGACGTAACTCGGTGATGCCAGTGAGCTCGCTGGGAAGATGGTCCGCTGGGCACCTGGGCGCCTCCTCCCTCAGGGCCCCCCGGACTTCTGTCCACAGTGGGGTGAACGTCCGGTGTTTCTACCAAACCCAGAGTGGAATTCTGACCTCCCCTGGGGCTCTGATGGGCACTGCTGAGCACCTATCAGAGCTCCTGAGCCTTGGGTGCTGGAAGTCGTTTTGTGTTACTTTTATGACATACATGAGGTCTTTCCTCCCTAAACATAAGAAGTGTGCCTGATGTGAAAGACACGGGAAAGTACCACGAGGTAGAAGCCACTCGTGGCCTCAGCTTAGAGATTAATGTCGTCAATGTGCAACCGCTGCCGCCAGCCCCCACCCCCGGCCCACTGTTCTCTGCAATCCCACAAATCCCCTGGTCCCCCAGCGGCGGAGGCCCCCGAGCTTGGTGCCCCCCTTCCTCAGAGTCTCTGGCCCTGTCCGGCACCCCCAGGGGTCCCCAGATCCCCATAGCTGCCCCCTTAGGAGCTCCCAGCCATCGCCCTTTCTCTTCAGCATCTGAAATCAGGGCTGCCCTGACTTATTCTGTCATTTTTTGAAATGACACGGCCCCCTGCGTAATGCAAGGTTGGCTTATCCGTGCTCAGCAGAGCGGAGAGCAGCTCCGAGCCACTGGGACCCGGACGGGGCGGTGCCGTCGCCTGTGGGAGGGAGGAGCGTGTCCCCCTCCTGCAGCGGCGCCCGGAGCCGGACGAGCCGATGTAGGATTCCCAGCCCCCCCCATGGTGCCATATACTCGGGGCTCCTCCCGGCTCAGCCTTTGTTTGATCTCTGCGACTTCTTATTGACTGTGGCGGTGACGCGTGGGTCTTGCATCTTTTCTTTCTTTTTTTTTCTTTATTTATTTTTTTATCCTCACCCGAGGACATTTTTTGTTCAGATAGAGTGGGAGGGAGAGAGAGGAAGAGAGAGAGAGAGAGAGAGAGAGAAACATCGATGTGAAAGGGACACATCGAGTGGCTGCCACCCGCACGACTGACCAGGGCCGGGGACAAACTGCAACTGAGGTACATGCCCTTAGCGGGAACCGAACCCGGGTCTCTCGGGACCGCAGGCTGATGCTCTAACCGCTGAACCAAACCGGCCAGGGCACATCTTTTCTTTCTTATGAAACAGGTGTCAACATTGACCCGAGCGGATCGAGGGTTCCGAAGAAAGACGGGGTTCTTGTCAGCAACTCTCTGGCAGCCTTCGCGTACGTGCGCGGTAGGTCGAGGGATCGCGGCGTCTTGGGGCACGAAGGGGTTTACTGAGGTCTCACCAACAAACGCACCGTTCGAAACAACGCTCAGAGCTGCGGGAAATGACTTTGAGTTTGACGCGCTGACAGCAGTCTTCGGAGATCCGGACACGGGCCTGAACTCAGTGCAGCTCCAGCACACGGCAGTCACACTGCTTAGCGGTCGGGCTCCGTGGGTGTTTCCGGCTTGGAAAAGTCGGACCCGGAGGAATGCACTTCCCGGCCCAAAGCTTGGGAAGGGCCTGGGATTAGCGAATTCCACCCTCGGCTGGAAGAAAACGGAGCCAAAAGATCACTTAGTCAACAAAGCAGGTCACGCCCTGTGAAGACAGGGTCCCCTTCTGAGTCACGAGGGTGACTGCTCACGGTTGCCAAGGTTCCGTTCGAGGGGGGCCCGGTGAGATGCAGCCGTCTGAGCAGGCAGAGCCGAGCTCGCTCTGCAGTGGGCACGGGGCTGCCCACCTGGGCACGGAGCGGAGCTTGGGACGTTGATTCTGCAAGTTTCAGCAACGGCTTCACTGTTCAGGAGCCAAACCCCGGGGGCTTTTGTAAAGTACACGTTTATGCCACGCATGACGAGATGACTCGGGGCCGCTGGAGCAGGCTGTCGGGTGAGCCCTCGGTGGAGAATAGGGCGTACACAGCCACCTCCACAGAGGTGCTGCCTGGTCCTCCCCCTCCATGGCGCCCCCTTCCTGTACCAGTGCCCCCCCACATACACACAAGCTTGCCGCGTGCTCCCTGGTTCCCTCTGGGAAACTTCTCTCTCCTGACCACTTCTTGGTGTCCCAGTAACTGTCCCAGTTAAGAGACGTAAGCATTTTAATTGTCAGCCCTGTCTTTTCTTTCTTTTTCTTTTTTCAATCCTCACCCGAGGACATTTTTCCATTTTTTGTTCAGATAGAGTGGGAGGGAGAGAGAGGAAGAGAGAGAGAGAAACAGTGACGTGAAAGGGACACATCGAGTGGCTGCCTCCTGCACGACCCTGACCCAACCAGGGCCGGGGACAAACTGCAACCGAAGTATGTGCCCTTAGCGGGAACCGAACCCGGGTCTCTCCGGACCGCAGGCCGACGCTCTAACCGCTGAGCAAACCAGCCAGGGCTGGCCCCGTATTTTCAGAGTCCCTGGCCGCCCCGGAGGAAAGACATCCCCAAAGGCTGCAGATGGAGGAGGACGATCCCAGGGGTAACGACTGCACTCGCTGGGCTTGTCTGTGGCTCTCAACATGACCGTGGTCCGCTCGGGCTGCCGTGACAAGAAACCATGTCCTGGGGGCTAAACACCAGAAACGTATTTCTCACGGTTGGGAGGCTGCAAGCCCAAGGTCAGGGTGCCAGCAGATTTGGCGTCTGGTGAGACCTTCCTGGCTGTAGACGGCCACCCTCTTGCTGGGTCCGCACAGAGAGACAGCTCTGTGGTGTCTCTTCTTAGAAGGACACTAACCCTGCTGGGTCTGGGCCCCAGCCTTATGACCTCGTTTAACCTTATTTACCCCTGATAGGCTCTCTCTCCAAATACAGCCACATGGGGAGTTAGGACTCCAACGCATGAACTGGGGAGACACAGCTCAGTACATAGCAGCGGTCCTGAGAGAGGGAACTCTGACGTCCATCTGCCCACAAGGGTCCGAGGAGTCGGGCCATTGGCCTGAGGCCGCGGTGTGGGCACGAGCAGGGCCTGGATCAGACTCAGCAGGTCCCAGGCCTCTCCTGGCGAGAACGTGCCCCCCAGGATCTCGACGGAGGAAAACCTCGTGGCTTCGAGTCATCTGGCTCCGTCCCCTCCGTCCGTCACGCCAGGGATCACAGGGGAGGTCGCTTTGGTGCCATCTCTCCATTCGACGGTGAGCGTGTCAGGGCAGGTGTTGTCTCGGTTTCTGTCCCATCCCGGCGTCCAGGACAGCGCAGGTGTCTGACGAGCACTGGGCGGGGGTCCTCTCGGCTGCTGCGGGCTCTCCCGGGCTCGCCGTCACCTGCACTGCATTTAAAGGTGTTTAATTTCAAAGAAGTTGAGGACTTGATGGGTCCTTGATGTCCCTGCGGTGCCCAGGCACATTCGTCGGCGAGCCACGACCAAGCCGAGTCCACGTCGGAGAGAAAGGGGCCTCGGTGTCGGGGTTGGTGAAGGGAGGTCGCCCCGAGAAGCCTGCTCGTGGAATCACAGAGGCTCCGAGAGTCTCAGTGGGACAGGGCCCTGGAGGCTCCGGGTGTCGCCCTCTGGGAGGGGTCCCTGGATGTGGTCCCAGCGCAGCCCCTCCCCCGCCGGCCAGCGCGCTGCGGTGACTGCAGGACGTCAGTGAGGTCGTCTCGCCGCCACCGGAAAGTGGGCCCAGCCGACTCGCAGACCCACCCTCGGCCGTTGTGGGAATGGGATGGGGGCCAGGCAGGGTCCCCAGGCACCCGAGGAGAGGGGGCGCCTGCAGGAGCCGCTGCGAGCCCAGAGGTTCTGGTGAAACCCGCCAAACAGGCGGTCGATTGAGCGGGTCCGAGAGGACGTTTCCCCAGGTGGTATCGTCCCTGCTTTTCAGAGAAACTCTCCGCGGAGGCACCTTACGGAAGGGGGACACACGCCGCTCGCCAGGGGACGTTTGCGATACAGCTGCTCGCAAATGATTATTGCCAAGAATGTTAGAAACTTACATTCTTTTTTTAAGTTTTAATCCTCACCCAAGGATATTTTACATTTATTTTCAGACAGTGGGAGGGGGAGGGGGAGAGAGAAACATTGAGGGGAGAGAGAGACATCGATTGGATGCCTCCCACACAACCCGGGCCACGGCCGGGGACCGAACTACAACCGAGGTATGTGACTTTGACCGGAATCAAACCCATGAGTCTTTGGTCAGCAGGCTGACGCTCCAGCTGCTGAGCCAAACCAGCCAGGGCTGGAGCCTTATATTCTGTACACGTGAGCGGAGAAGCACAAACTACCCAGCAGAGAAAAAAGTGCGCACACGTCACGAGCCAGCATTTTGAGAAGCGGGACGACGTAGCCACCTGAGGACATGTCCGGGCGTCTGGGACAGGGAATGTGACCAAGGCCCTAGTAAGACACCGTGTGTCCCTCACAACCGGAAGGAGAACGGGATGCCCGTCCTGCCCGGTGCGGGGCAGGTGCGCCCTCCAGGACCCTCATGTTGCACCAGCTTTGGAAACTACCCGGACAGTTTCCTCAAAAGTCACCCAGTACCCTCCTGGGTCAGTGCCCAAGAGAAATGCTCGCTCGTGTACGCCAGGGGCATTTACGAGAAAGTTCATGGCTACGGCCCCCAGCAGACCTGGCACTCGCCCAGATGCCCCGCCCCGCAGGAGTGAGGGGACAGACGGCTCTCCGGTCTGGACAACACAAGGGCACACGGCAGCACAGCGCTGAGTGAAACAGACGCCCTCCGCGTCAAGGGGTCAGGGATACGTAGAGATGCCATCCACCCTGCGAAAGGCAAGCGGGGGACTCAGGACACGGCGCTCCGGTGGGGGTGACCCCGGCGGGGGAGCTGGCAGGACCAGGAAGCCCTGCGTCGGACACCGGCGGCCTCGTTGTGGATGTTGTCTGCTGTTAGTGATGCCCAGGTGCCGTTGCCTCCCAGCCCTCCTCCTGCCCCCACTCCCGGATGAAAACAGCCCTTCCTGCTCTCGAAGGACACGTGTCTGTCTGACCAAATCTGCAACATACCTTGGCACGCAGGGAAATACGCTGTTATCAGCATCGCAGACGCAGCTCGCCGCCCCTCCTCAGCCAACCTCCACCTGAGCGAAGACTCTGTGTTGTCAAGAGGCCGAGGAGACTGCTGGGCGGAGCCATGGTGACAAAGAGCCCCACGCCTGTGTCAGGGACACCTCGGGACTTGACTTGAGCCGCGAGCGAAGGAGGCCCAGTGGGGAGGTTCACGTTCCCACAAGATAAGGTGTCCTACTTAGGTTTGTCCTGGCAGATCACAGCGACTGGGTCCTCTGACGGTGAAACCGGCAACCCTCGGGCGCTCGGACCCCAGCCCAGGCCCCGGGGGAGGGCGCACAGAGCAGCCCTCAGCCCTGGCGCGGGGTGAAGCAGAGGCCCTGTGCCCACAGCAGGGCCCGGGCCCCGGGCTGAGCCAGTGTCCGTGGTTTCAAATGTGCACCCGCGGGCAGCTCACAGCGCAGGGTCTGGGCACCGGCCCTGGCTCCATCCAAGGAGGCCGCCCGACCCGGAGAGAGGCGTCCCTTCCCGGCCTCAGCTCTAGCCTTTGTGTCGGGCCAGCCACGCGCAGCCCACAGGCCGACCTCGTGAAGTTTTATTAGAACGCAGGGCACCTGCGGCGGACGGCGTGCCCAGCCACAGAGCTGAGGAAGCCCAAAATACGGTGCCCCTTTGCCAGGAAAAGCCTGCCAACCCCTGATCTGTGTCGGGGGAGTGCGCCGGGTCATATGTCCCAGAGTGGCGGTGCTGACACTGCAAGGGGAACGCGATGGAAAAACGGGGAGAGAGAGAGTCCTTCCTGCACAGGGTCAGCATAAGGATTAAACACGTGAGGGTTCCGACCAGGGGACGCAGCACAAAGTCGCGTTATTTCTATCTCTGCGGTTATTGGACCGTCATTTGGTTGTAGGGAAAACTACCAGAACCTTTATCTACATTTTCTTTCCAGTCTGGAGGAAATGAGGCTGTGCGTACAGCTCCTCTCTTGGTGCTTACATTCCTACTTAGACTTTATGGACAAATTACGTTTTCATAATACCGATAGCCAACAGTGGAGGGAACATTCGCTGTGTGTCACTGAGGGTTCTGGTAGCTTTGCAAGGGATTGGTTCATTCCTCCTCACAAGTCCGTAAAGGAAGGTGCTCTTAGCCCCGTTCTACAGCTAAGGAAACTGAGTCACAGGAGGTTAACTTGCCGAAAGTCACAGCACTGGTGAGCGGCAGACCTGAGAAGTCGGGGAGCATGGTCTGAGTGCTCTCGTATATATACATGTACTGACTGCCTATGCCCCAAACTTTTTTTTTTTAAGTCTGTGGGGTCTGTGACCAGGAGGTGAGGTGGTCCTGCCTGGGGACATCCGTGTCTCCGGGACCTTGGCGAAGCCCGCCTGCTCCTGCAGCCGCTGACCTGTCCTCTTCCCCCGACAGCCCACCCCGAGAGAGCGGCCTTGCTGTTCGTGTCCAGCGTCTGCATCGGCCTGGCACTCACGCTGTGCACCTTGGTCATCAGAGTGTCCTGCGCCAAGGACCTGCAGAAGCTGCAGCTGGCGAGGGAGCGCCTGGCACCGGGACGCGACGAGGCCGAGGAGGACAGCGCGGACGCCGAGCAGGGCGAGGACTCCTCCGACTCCGACTTCCCGGGGGAGCCGCCGGGGTTCGGCTGGGCCCCCCAGCCCGCGTACACGTCCGTGGAGACGGCGGAGCTGGCGGAAAGGATCGAGCGCAGGGAGCAGGTCATCCGGGAGATCTGGATGAACAGTGGCCTGGACGCCTCGATGCCCAGGAGCACGGGCCCGTTCCACTGAGCCGGGCGCGCGCGGTGCCGTCGCACCTGCGAGCGGGAGCCTGTGCCCGGGGCCCGTCTCGCTGGTACCTTCTGTGAAGGAGAATTTGTCATGCCATCCAAACCCGGGGAGCCAGGCAGCGGCGAAAGGGACCTTTCACAGTGTTTACAGCCAATTTCACAATAAACTAGGAGGGAAACCGTCTTCCGTCTCTGTATTCATTTCTTTTTTTTTTTTTTTTATCCTCACCCGAGGACATTTTTCGATATTTTGTTCAGATAGAGTGAGAGGGGGAGAGAGAGAGAGAGAGAAACATCGACGTGAAAGCGACACATCGAGTGGTTGCCACCCACATGACCCGACCAAGGCTAGGGACAAACTGCAACCGAGGTACGTGCCCTTAGCGGGAACCGAACCCGGGTCTCTCCGGACCGCAGGCCGACGCTCTAACCGCTGAGCCAAACCGGCCAGGGCTCTGTATTCATTTCGATTCGTGTCTGCACATTGGCGCAGTCACGGTTCACACTTACCGCACTGACACGCCAGGCACTGTGCTCGCCTCTTCCGTGTACGAATGAGGTCATTTCACCCTCACAGCAACCTCGGGAGACGGGACCAGCGCCCCTTTCTGGAGACGAGCAAACGGACGATCCTGTGGTCCAGTGAAGCAACCACACTGTCACGCGGGACGCAAACACGTTCGTCCAGCGTGCGCGACACTGGGGGCAGCAGCCACTGACATCATTCGAACAGAGCAGGTGGGGGCGGGGGATGGCGGCAACATTTTTCTTAAATGGCAAGATAATAAAAGTGTGGGCATTCTGTGCCCTGACTACTCAACTCTGCCTTGTGGCTCAAAGGCAGCCATGCCGAGCCCTGGCTGGTTGGGCTCAGCGGTTGCAGCGTCGGCCTGCAGACCAGAGAGTCCCGGGTTCGGTTCCCACTCGGGGCACGTACAAACAAAAAAGTTCAAGAAGAAGATTAAAAAAAAAAAAAAGGTAGCCATAGCGAATCCGTAATGAACGTGACTGTGTTCCAATAAAACTTTACCGATCCACATTGACATCTGACTTCATTTTCACGTCATATATTCTTCTTCTTTAAGCCTAAAACACTTACTGACGTGCCCTTTACAGAAGAATTTCGCCAACTCCTACTGCAGAGGGTAGACCTGCAGGGCTTCCGGTGGTAAAAGCCATCGACCAGGTTACCCAGCCGCTCTGTGCACAGGGATCAGGTGGACTTACCTTCACGTCACTGCAAAAAAGGGGCCCCGGCCCGGCCAGTGTGGCCCAATGGATGGAGCACCATCCCATGGACTGAGAGGTCCCGGTTCGATTCCAGGTCAGGGCACATGCCCAGGCCATGGGTTCAATCCCCAGTAGGGGGCGTGCAGGAGGCAGCCCATTGATGTTTCTCCTATCGATGTTTCTGTCTCTCCCCCTTCCTCTCTCTCTAAAGAAGCAATAAAAACATATTTCAAAAAAACCCCAAACAGGCCCTACCATATTGGGGAGGGGCGGGGAGGGCACAAGAGAGCGAGTTAAGGAAAACAGAGATTCTCGATGGAAGAAGTGGCTCCCCCTGGTGGGCAGGAGGCTTCCAGCGGGGGGCTTTGAGTATTAAAATAATGCTGTGTCCTGGGCCCACCCGGAGTGAGCTCCCCCTGCCGTATCACTCCATCACCACATCAACCCTGCAAGCTGGTGTGTGAGGAGGAGGACGAGAAGGCTGAGAGGGTAAGCGCGGGGCGGGGCCCAGGATGGCAGGTGTTGGAGCTGACTTACTGGGAGGCAATCGAGACACGCTAGTGCCTCCTCAGGAACCTGAGCAATGGGGGGTACGGGAGAAGGGGTTTCTCTTTCAGCCCCCCGGGTCCCCAGGGTGAGTGCCGAGGAGGGTGGGGTGGATGAGAGGCTGGTGTCTCAGCAACCAGCCCCGCTGCCCGGACTGGGGCGGGGTCGCGGGGTCTGCAGTTTTGTGTTTTTATTCAGTTTGTCCTAGTTTTTGCGACGCTGTAACAGAAATACTGTAGGCTGGGCGGCCATAAACAACAGACACGCATTTCCCACAGTTCTGGAGGCTGGGAGGTCCAAGGTCAAGGTGCTGGTAAATGCGGTGCCTGGTGAGGACCGATGACCGTCCTCTCGCTGTGCCCTCGCGCGGGGCGGTGAGGGAGCTGTGGGGAGTGTCTGATAAGGACACTAATCCCATTCATGGGGCTCCACCCTCACGATCCGATCGCCTTCCGAGGGCTCAGCTCCAATCACCATCCCATTGGGCATTAGGATTTAACATACGAGTTTGGGGAAGACACAAACATCTGGTCGATAGCAGGGCTGACATTCATATCAAGTAAAATGAGCCATTTGAAAGTGCACAGTTCAGTGGCACTTAGTACATTCACATGCTGTTCGACCACCGTCTGGTCCTCAAACATTCTCAGCACCTGGAATAACCCCCCACCTACGAAGCGGTCCCCCTCATCCCAGCTCCTGGAATACCGTCTGCTCTGGGTCCGGTTTACCTGCTCACATAAACGGGATCACATGACGCGGGCTTCAGTGACTCTTGCTCAGCACACCGTGTCCAGGGTCCACTCCGGCTGGCGTGACTCAGGGCTTCACCCCTGCCCGTGGCGGGACAGTACTCCACGGTATGGACACACCGTCCCGTTCACCAAGTCCTCCCTCGGCGGGCACCTGGGTCATTTCCACTGTGGGCTGTTGCGACGGTACTGCTGTAAACACTTGCGTTCGGTATTTTAACAGAAAATGTCGCACAGAAGAGCAACCAGAGTTGGTGGGAAATCCCTGGTTTCCTCCACAGAGGAAGGGGTGAGGGGGTCAGAGGGACCGGTCGAGAGAGGTGCCATCTGGGCAGGCGGGGTGGTCTGGACAGAGGCCGGAGCCGGCAGGACCCCCAGGGACCCGAGTGCTTCGTGCTGACCAGGAGCCTGGAAGAAGCGGACGGGAGGCCGCGGGACCAGTCTTGTTAAGGTCGTCGCGGAGAACGAGGTGAACAGCTCCATGGCTGACTTCTTCCTGAGGTTCTACCCGAATCCGAGCGAACCCTGGCCCTCCCCCTGCCCTGCGCCCAGCGAGGAGCACTCGGTACTGTCCCAGCTCACTTCCGGTTCTCCAGCAGCATCGTTTCTGGCTCCGTGGACATAAACACTGTCCCTTTGATGACCGTCCTCTTGGGACTGAAGAGCATGTGGCCCCTGCAGGTTTTCTCCTCCTGGAGAGCGAGCTGTGTCCACACTGACCTCAGCCACAAGGCTTTTGTTGATCCCACAGTAGTTTCCCTTCACTGGAGTCTCCCCCACACCTCAACCCCTCAGGCACAGCCCCCAGGACCCCGAGGAGGCAGCTAGCGGGCAGGCCCCAGCGCCAGGCCGGCTCTGGCCAGTGCAGACACAGCGAGCTGCCCGCTGCACTTTCTCAGCTCAGAGGAGACCACGTTCTCACGGACAGCCCGGGGGTCCTGCTGAGACGGTGTTTGCTTGGGCACGAAGCCCGAAGCCGGAGGGAGGGACCGGCCCCACGTGGATGGCGGCGTGCTGGAGGAAGCCCTTCCAGGGCATGGCAGCTGCCACAGGAGGCCGCCCCGGTGGCAGGTCTGTGCGTGCCCGCCCCCCCGATACCCGCTGCAAACACCGCCTCCCTCCCGACCCAGGGCTCTGCGGTAGGACCGCCCTCCGGTGTCACCGGGCTTGCGGGCAGCTCGTGGATGCTGGCCATTTGCTGCCTGAGACCTCACAGCCAGCGCACACCCAGGCCCGGCAGGCGCTGGGAGGCTGTGCGCGGCCCGCGGCCCACCCCACACGGGGCCGGCACGGTGCTGTGCCGCCCAGACCCGCCCCAGGGCCCTCTGACTGTCCTCGGCTCTGTCCCTTCAGGCTGCTGGGACCAGAATGCCACAGACCGGTGGCTTAGAACCAGTGGCCATCGATGTCTCCCTGTTCTGGGGGCTGGACCCGAGCGTGGGGGCCAGGATGTTGGCTGAGGACCTCTTCCTGGGTGTGTCCCCCTGTGGGGTGTCTGTGACAAGGGCGCTAGGCCTGTGCTCGGGCTCCACCCTCAGGCCAGTCACCTCCCGAAGGCCACACCTGCCAACACCATCACCTGGGGGCTCAGATTCAACACGGGAATTCGTTGGGGTCACCAGCCTTCAGACTAGTGATCTCACACATACAGCAGCCCCTGTGTCTGAGGTCCACTCCCGCGATCCCCGTTACCTGCTCTGGTCCACCGTAGTCCGAAATGACTTTCACACATCACGATCCTTTCCCCTTGTTCTCTCTCTCTGAATTCATTGGGGTGCATTGGTTAATAAAACTATATAGGTTTCAGGTGTGCAGTTCTATCACACGCCGTAAAAATTCATGAGTTTCCAACCACGTGCCTTCTGGGCAGGGTGATGAAACCCGAGGCCGCTCTGTCCCGGCTGGGCTGTGGCTCCTCTGTCCCGAGTCCCCGTGCTACAGACGCTCCCACCCGAGTCTCTGAGCAGCCGTCTGGGTGGCCAGATCCGCTCTGAGGGTATCGCGGGGCTTCTGTCCAGAGACCTTTATGTTACTGAGTAACGACCCCAAGGGGCCGGAGCAGGGAGGCTGGCAGCGCTCCTTCGGTGAACAGGCGTGTGCCCGGGCAGGACACACCCAGAGGGCAGCGGGCTGTCTGGGTCTCAGGCACCACGGGGTCTTAGAAGGTCCCCGTGGATAAGGAGAGACGGCTGTGTCTCCCTGAGAGCAGTCCTCCGACAAGTCCCCCCACGAGAGCGTATGCACACCCCGAGTCCTCCGCCCTCCTCCTGAGGCTGGGGCTGAGCCTCGCCTTCGGACGGGACTCCCCTCGGCCCACCCACAGCCAGGCACGGGCTGGACCCGCCTCCCAGCTCGGCCTCAGACTTTGCAGGAGTGACTGCTCCTGGTCTCAGGTGGCCGAGCACTGTCCAGCGGTCTCCACGCCTTGGAGAGGACCAACGTACAGCTAAATTCTGTGGGAGACATTAACATCTCCCCAGGGATGCCTGGCCCCGTGGACACTTTGGGGTGCAGTTAACGTTGCCCGTG